AAGTAAACTACAGGGAACTAAACTCTGCTTGGGGCTAAAACCCTAACAGTTAAGCCAAGAATACTATTAAATACCTATTCAAACATAAATCTAGCTAACTGGGTCCCTAATATTGTAAGAGTCTCAACTCAGAATGCAGATGTAACCTTCAGATTCAGCCCAACCAACTTAATCAGAAGTATTTTACAACCTTTGAAAAAAAGTGATTAACCACCTGTGTTACTCACAGAGTGGGTAAGGGGCCTTTTCCTCTGAGGGGGGCAGAGAGCTCAGGTGCTGTGTAACAAAGACAGGCACAACACATGGGGAGAGGGTGCTTGCTAGGCATTAAGTGTCTCCAGCTGCTCCCATCGAGGGTACAGACAGGATCCTCTTCTGACCCTGCAGGGACTGCTGTATTTGTAACTGCATCAGGAAAGGGCAGCAACAATCATCTGAAGTGAAAAACTAAAGAAAAGTATAGATGCATCAGTCCACATCTGGGTTGGAGTTAGTAATGCAATTGTTAAACAAAGGCTGACAGTTTATTTTCCAAGTTTCACAGGCCTCTGATCACAGATTAGCATTTAGTAGCAAGGAGAGTTAACCTGGAAAATGTCAAGACAGCAAAAAGCTCCGTGCAGATAACTATTTCATGCCGATACAAGAGGCAGCTTGTAAGCAGGCCAGGTTATGAAGCTTCAAAAAAAAAAATTTTTTTTCTCTTTTCCAAAATAAACAATCACCAAAATTGAAGTGCTTCAGGCTACAAAGGAAACCAGTCAGGCTCTTTGCAGGAATTCTGCTTAGGGCAAATCAGCTGCAAAGAAAATGAAAGCAGACCTCAGAAGACAGTAGGTGATTTCTTTTCTGTCTTTGTATGGGAACCTACTACAGTCTGACAGGGAATAGATCCAAGCTCCTCTCTTACCTTGGTAAGTAATAACAATGCTCCTCCTTGTTATACAGCACTTACATTTGTAAAACTGAAAAGCATCAGTAAGGAGGAGGTTTAAGGGAAACGGTAGCGCAAAGTGTCTCTACAGGTCTGCTGTATTTACGCAGCAAGTCTAAGGCAGATCTGGAAGAACCACCACAGCAATCCAGTGACCTATTTACTGCAGCTCCAAAGAAGCCACAGATACACAGGGGTACAAAATTTGCAGGATGCAAGTACTACACCAAACTGATCGTGCTACACCTCAGGCTGCAAGAAAAACAGTCTGTCCAGCAAACACCCGTCAGCATTATACATGGCTCACAGTTACCAAAATTAGACACATTTTAACACCTTTAAAAGCTAGTTTTGTGCGAGGCCATTCATATTGCCTAGGTTTATTTCAATAAATTCATCCAGGCCTAACTGACAGGATCCTTAACGCTACTCTGTGGCAGAAGGTGAAATAAAACAAATGAAAACATTTCACCTAAAGGAAATTAAAAAATAAATTTTACTTCCTGTTGATGCTGTGAACAGGGAAGGATTTGCCCTGCATACAACACACAAGTAAGTCCAGTTTCATTCGAGTGTGGAGTAGGTTGATGCCGAGGCTAGATGGATACCATATTGCTGTCAGTTGATTTAAAAATCAACTGCATTCAGCAAATATCCCACCAAGGCAGGAACTGTGCAACACTTTAGTGCTCCTGTTACTCTTAGACCTAAAACAACTATTCTGCAGTTTTAACAAAGCTTCTTAAAAGCTCTTTTTTAACAACTAAGCTTTGGAACGCTTTGTTACTGATGAATAACGGTGAGGAAGAGATGCTTACTCACTAAGGACTCCTCCTTTTGTAGAGACTGAATACAACTGCAGATTTCTTAAACCTCCAGAACTTGTTCTTACTGCACTGTTGGTTTCTGCTGCTCCCAGTGCCCCGCAGCCTTTTTTGCTGTCAGCTCTGCCACACAGTCCTTTAGGAGGCAAGAGACCAAGAAGAAAGCTGATGGACTGATCTTAAAAGTAATCCAAATCATACATTCCCCTCATTGCCCAGGCACTCAGTATGTCTTTCATAAAATAATTTCTAACACACATTATATGTATTTGATTCAAAGCTTTCAACTTTTGGCCTTTTTTTTTCCCTCTTGCATTACAGAACACTGATAACTTTAGATGTGGCACTGCTCTATTCTTGTAACAGATTCTCAATAACTAGAGAAATTTATCCCACATATGACCCTGAAGTCTTATTTAGGATGATCTCTTCTATAGGTGACAGGGGTCTTTGAATTTCATGGGCCATTTAATCTTTAGCCTTCACCAGAACTATTTAGGCTTCTGGTGAATTAGAAACATAGACCTTATGAAAAACTGAAACAGATTTAATAGTAAAGCATTAGAAACTTTCACACAGGACACTGAACAGCCAAGAGAAGGAGACAACTTATAGTAACTACTTACCTTAGATAGGAATAGGAACAAAAAATCCGAAGAGCTTATTTTATTTTATTAGTGGTTCTGCTTCTTTCAGGCAATCGCTCCTTCCAAAGTGTTGATGTGCCACCAGCTCACATGTTCTGTTACTCCAGGGTTTATTGTAGGACCTGGGAGAATCAATCTAAAGGCCTACGTGAATGGTGGAGTCTCATTTTCATTTACAACTGGCAATGCTCACAGGCACAATGACCTATTGACAATTACAGCAATCGCTACCCATCTGCAGAGAGATGAGAGGAGTATCTGATTCAGCTCTAAATCTTTTCCTTGAGCTCTGGAAAACACAGTGTGTTACGAGAGGCAGATGGTAAGCTTGGTAAGAGAAGTACAACAGCACATTTTGAATACCTAAAGGAACATGTCTCCCAAAAAGACCACCCAAACGACATGCGATTTTTTTGGAAGATGCCTCTAAAGCTTTTACGCTCCCTTACTGAATGCCTTAAGAACTATTTGGTTGGTAGTTGAACTATACAGCTTTTTCTGTTTACAAATGTATTTCAATTTAGATCTATACTCACCTCTGACCTCTAAAATATTGGATTTCTTAGTTGTATTAATAGTGGTTTGCTTGAGAAGGCAAAAGCACAAAGGTAAAGCTAGAGAAATATGTACGTCCAATAAACAAGTCAACCATGCTGATGTGCTCTGTGCAGGGTTCTCTACCTCCTAGTTAATCCAGGCTCCACAGCGGTAATAGGAATTTAGTTTTCATAGCAAGAAGATAAATACTTAGAAATATAACGCAAGGGGAATATCAGAAAGCCCTCTTTTCCACTGCTTTTTCCCTGATTTATATATGGATTTTTTACTATAAATCTTCCAGCCCTGGTTTAAAGTTAAGAAATCACCAGTGGGGAGGGAGAGAGCACACAGGTAACAAAGCAAGCACAAATACTCTCAAGAGACTACGTCTCCTCCAGTTTCTGAATCCCAAATCATGTTGTTATACAACACATTGCCTTTTCTCAATCCTTCTCAACATATTATTCAAGACTCCAAGTTTGGAGTCTACATGGAAGTCTTCCATGAAGGTGAAGCAAGTATTTTCCATTTGGTGGTTTAACAGCATAATAAATCAATAAGAAACAAGAGTAGCTATTAAAAACTGTATTTCCCCCCCAACAGTTACATTTTTAGTGAAAAGATTACACCACATAAACACTTCACTTTTCTCCTTGAAAAGATTTAACAGCTCAGAAATGCCATAGATACACATGGAGGATGCTCGTTAGCTTGACAATGACAGGCCACCACAATCCAGCCCATTCATTCCAGTCAGCAGCCAGAAACACATGGTATCCCCTTAAATTAACCCTTTAAGGGCTGCCCCCCTTTGCACCAAAGTTAAAATTAAAATGCCTCTTAGGCAACCAGGTCAAAATTTAAAGAATCTTTTGGGCTCATTCCTGGTTTATTTTAATAAATTTCTTATCTGGCCTCGACAAACAGGGGTAAAAGATTTACTTTCACATTGAACTTTACAATGCTGCAACTGAATCAAAAGGATCTTTTTCATAAATACATGCACAGTTGTTCTCATTGCACAGTATTTATTTGCTCAAGATAATTTCCCCTCCTTGTGCTCACAAGTCCGTTCTTCCTTTTGCATACATTCCATGGTTTCTCTCAAGGTTTTCCCCCATTTTGAGACCATAACAGCATCCTGTCATCATAATTTCTTGCCATGAAAATGGTCATGTTGTCACAGTCAGATTCTGGAATTGTTACTTCAAATAATTAGCAACCATATGAAAGGAACCAGGAGCAGGTGAATGGAGTTCTGCTTTAATAGATTTTGAAACTTCTTAAAGTCAGTGCAACCCACAGGAAAATCTGTAAGTATTGTAAAAATGACCTGCACATATGAGAGAAAATGAAGTGCTAGGTTTTAGGCAGCAGTGCTAGAAATTTTATGTGCAGATTCCGGAACAGTCAGTGCACTTAGGAATTTCACTGCAGGTTCTTCAGTTTGTAAATGCGCGTGTGTGCGCGGCTTTAAGGCCCTGCAACTACTAAGAGAGTAAACCTGAGAGTGTCACCTGTACACTCGCTATTAGACAGCCTCTTGGAGCAGTGCCTAAAGAAAATGGTATTATCTTAGGATCCAGATAATTTCCATATCACTGAACAGTTGCAAGGAGCCAAACCACATAAAATTTTTCAAGTGACTAGAAACTTAGTTTATTAAAGCCCAGTGCAAGTTGGATTTAAGTTAAAGATCATTAATTCTTCCTTACGCGAGAGATAGTCTTGTGCAGCAATTAAAGGGTTAAAGTGGAACTATATGTAGTATTTTAAACAAGTTCACATATTCTCTATACAAATTTGGCAAATTCATGTCACAGCCATAGATCTCATTCTTGCAATTCCTGCAAAATATCTACAGCTCCTCTGTCAGAAGCAAAGAGAGAAGCCACCTGAACAGCCAGGTCTACCAGGAGTTCATAGTACAGCCCACAGAGTAGCACAGAACGGCCGGTGATCTCCATGTTCCAGCTTAAACAGGTAGACTTATTGAACTAAATACGCTTTCCACACATGCTCCCAAAGAGCTTGAGGCCACAGAGCAGATGAGTATGGAAAAACTTATTGCATCAGAAACACTGCAGCCAATAGGAAATCAAAACCATGATTTCAAAGCCAATCAAAAAACCAAAGCAAACCCAAAAAAGCAAGCATTTATATGTGTGTAGATGTAATAAATATTCCAAAGCACATTTGTCTTTTTCCCCCGAGTCAGTAATTATAAAGAAATAACCAATGCACCAAAACATCAGCTTTCTGCAATGAAAACGTGGAAGTCAGCAAAATACCTGCAAGCCAACTGAAGAGAAAGCATTTGCATTGTCAGCCAATCACAAGTTGCTTCCAGTTCTATGCAGCCAAATCAAACCCTCTTCAAATTCACAAGTTTGACCTAAATAAGCACCACAGCATGAAAAGCTTCTTTAGAAGTAGGATGTCAAGAGACTTTCTTTAAAATATAAAATAAAATGTGAGAGAAAAGGTTTTCATTGGTCAAGTTTGACAAATTGTCTTCCTTTAGCCAATCACAGCCTGTCCCTTTGAGCCAATCAAAAATACACCGTTAGGTTTGTCCTTAATTAACACAGCCCAGCTGAGTAGCAAAAACTTATAGGAATAGATGGCTGTGAGATGCATTCTGAGGGTTGGGTACAGGGAAACAAAATTACAAAGGAGAAGGAATACCAAGGAACAATTAGGGTGGGCAAAGGAACTTATTAATGCTCAGCCATCCTCCTCTATCTTCAGGATTCGCACTGTCCTCTCCAGTTCTGTGTTGTTCAGGTATCCTGTAGTTACTGTCTTCTGTCTTCTGTCTCTGATCTGGAAAATGCCATCACAACATCCTCAGCACCTGTAATAACAGTGGATACAGGAAAACATGTGCCATAATTACTTCCTTTAAAGAACACTGGATAGAGGCAGTATGCAAACTGTCATTCTACACATCCATAAAATCAACAGGAAAGGAAAAAGAGGACAGAAAGAAGAGAAAGCTGTATTTTCTTATTTTTCTGGGACTGGAACCTGAAGTGGTCTAAACATTTCAACAGTAGATCTAAAACGTTCATTTGCAAGCCTAAGGAAATCAGTTTGTTTTTAAAGAAAACCAAGAATTCCTTGCTTTCCATATTTATAATAAGCAAGACTTAAAAAAAAAAAAATTCATAGGATTGTCACCACAGGCATGTAGAGATAATATTTTTTTTTTTCCCCTGTAAACTCTGGCACTGCATAAGAGACTGAGCTTCTCTGAAGTACGAGGAACTCAACTGTTCAATAAAACTTGTACTGCCCTATGCATCACACTGTCCTTTTAAAGTGATATTTAGATATTCTTTACTTTATCTTTACATCTAGATATTCATTACTCTCTGCTTTTAAGAATAAAAATTGTTTTAATAGGCCAGCTGAAAGGTTTTTGCTTTTTTTTTTCCCCTCACTTGAAAATCACTTAAACACCCTTTATAAACTAGCATGTCTTGAAAACGTTCCATTCTCTAGTGGAAGTGCAGCATTTTCTTTCGAACTAAAGGCTTCCATTTGCCGAGGGAACAGATACAGCTTTGCTAAGTAATGCTTTTATGCCTAGCCTGAAGAAATCTTTTCCAGAAGAATTCAGTGTGTGGACTTTCTCAGTTACTGGATTTTTTTTTCCAATTGAGGCTATAAACTGTGTATAATTACCATCCAAACTCATGTCCCCTAAGCACAGAAAGATGTTATTACCATGCTATAATCATCTCCAAGTCTTTGCAAACTTGTGTGGTCTTTTAAGTGGGCATTTATAGTAGAAAGGCCTGAATGGCTTGAAAATCCTATCTGGTAAAGGCTTGTAAAGAACGTTCCACGCTAAGCTCTCATTCTTCAAAAAGATACTTTGAGATCTTCAGAAAAAAAAATCTGCTCTCTGGACTTCCTAACTATAGAGCGTGGCTTAACAGGCATTTAAGAGAGAAATGTCTTCAGGACAATATGGAAATAAAAATACATCATACAGTAGTGTCAAAGCAGTGCTTTAAATCAATATCTCTAGTCTAGACAAGAACTGGAAAACAACCCTGAAGGGCCGAGTGCGGTATTTTTAATTACTGGTAAAAATTTGATCCCCAAGAAAGTCAGATGAAAGTAAACGCTTTCTTTCATCTGTAGATCCTCTAACAGCATTTATCTAACTGATGAGAAAATACGATGAATCCTCAAGTCACTGTCTATATAATTTCTAAAAATTATTTCCTCCATTCACATGATCCTAAGTGTTTAAGTGCAACAGATGACTCACAGTGACCATTTTGGCCTTTGTTAATTAATTCGGTCTGCTTGGGATAATTTTGCTTAATAAGTTTTTCTTCAAAGCTTCTGTTAAAGGATTAGACAACAAAGCAGCAAATGCCAAAAGCAACACCAACTGCCTGTCCCATTCAGGTAACTGTGCAGCTCTACAGAATTCTCTTACTGGGGCTTGGAAAGTTCAAATTCAACTTGGATGGAGCATCACCATGTAAAAATTCTCCAGTCTTACTTGAAGCATATCAAGAAGCAGATTTCAGCTTTGTGCCCCAAGCAACTCCTGCCTATACACCTGCATACAAAGTAAGAGGACTAATAAAAATTCCTCATCTGTTATAGTTATATGAATTCCACTTCTCAGTTATCTAATTTGCTCTTTAGTTGCAATATAGAAGGAAAAGTGGCCAAAAAACAGGGCAGAAGAAAAGGTTGTAAATTCCCCTTGCAAATATCCTTAAAAACTAAATCAATGCTTATGAAATGCAACTACATTTATTTTTATAAACTTCACAATTTATTTGTTATACGTACTCAAAGGAGGAAATATTAAGGACCAAGCAGTAGTTTGTTTTTCACATGTAGGACCTCTATCTTATAGAACTACATCAAAAACTGCTCTGATACACCCTCTTGCCAACACTCAGACGCCCTGCAGTCATCTCCCTTTTCATCTCCTCCACAAACTTGTTTTTTCCTGGATCAAAACATAAATGATATATAGCAGTAGGATCCAGCTCTGAATTAACAAGTTGCCACGTTGATTTTTTTTTTTTAAATGCATAAGAACTACTAGCCTCTACAAAAAGAAGGATTTTATTTGCAAGGATTCTGAAAAACATTTCTATGCTAAAAAGAGGAGGGAGTAATGACACTTAGAAGCATTAAGCAAATGCACATAAAGCACAACCTATGCCGCTGTATTTTACATGTGCCCCCCTTTAGAGCCGAGGAGGCTTTGCTACGCACTGCCCGAGCCGCTGGCGTAGCCTAGCAACCGCCAAGTCACAGATGACGTCACATCAGCACAAGAGATGAGCTGGATTACTTAACAGATGTTGCTTGTTTTCCTGGGGTCTCCCCTTTCTACAGTCTAAATGTGACAACAATTCTTACAAGCAACCTTACAAGTTTCACGCAGAAAAGGAAATTTCATTCCAGGGAATCACTCAACCCCATAAGCACACGGGTCGGTATTCCTGCCTGTCCCTAACAATTCCAGCTTTCAGCACTGTTCCCATGCGGAGCCTCCTGTGCCGAGCCCGCAGCCCTTTAAACCACATGATGAGCAGAAATAGCTTTTGGCCCAAAGGACGCTGGGAATTCTGCAGTTCATTTTGGCTTTCACAATCAAAATAGCTACCGCTGAAGAGCGGGGTCACACTCAGCTGGCTCCTGGCCTAATTTTCTAGGCCCACCCGGCACAGCTTCAGTACCAGTGTCCCTGTCAATATGAACTCCTGATAACTCGCCGTTTGCCTGGACTTGGAATAGGAAAAGAGAAGGGAGCACAAGAAATACAGCTTGTCAATACAACAGGAAAACAGGAAAAGCCACATTTTAAAACAGTGCTTTCTCTGGAGGACAAAGCAAGGGTACAATAAAGAATACAGTGTGAAAGTGTGGAAAGTGCTTGAATACCTATAGTGTTACTGAATTATTATTACGTGCATCCTAAAGGAAGAAGTGGAACAGTGGATGGAGAATGGGTCTAGGATTCAAGGTTTCAGTCTTTCACAGCCAAAGCTAACTGCATGGTCAGTGCGCAGTACCCTTGTTTTACTACCAATGTAATTACGATAACTACAGTTTTAAAGTTACCTGAATTCGTGAACAAAGTGCATATGTGTTTTTTTTTTTATCATAACATCATCAAAAAGCATGTCCCTTCTCTGATGTTCTTTAGCACTTTGCAATACATAGCTTCCCATATGGTACTTTTTAAATTAAGATGGGCAATCAGTACAAGAACCAAGGTGGGTAAACAGTTCGGTAAGGGAAGATTATGAATTGTGCTTGAAAGGATAACCATTGGGCTAAAAAGGAGATTACGACTGCACTTTCTCAATGGCTGGCCTTTGCACCAATTTTACTTAATACTTTAATAAATGATCCTGGAACAGAAAAGTCGTTATATACCAACGCAATCTGATGGCAATACAAAGGTAGAAAGTTCTGCCAAAACACCAGCAATCAGCAAAACAATATACAGGAACGAACAGGATAGCAGTGAAGACCAGAGGTGGCAAAAGGGGTTTAGCTATTCATTTTAGAAAGGAAGAAAAAAAAATAAAGATTAGAAGTGATATATTTCTATGTCTCGTGGTACAGTTTTAAACAAGATTAGTAAAGAATGGATTTTATACACAATTCTGAGCAGTTTTATTTCCTGTTCCCTCCTCAGTTCCTTTTGTTATTTGGTAGAACTGCCGATGTTTTCATTTGCAGGAATTACATGCAACACAGCATCTGCAAGAGCCTCAGGCAATTGCCTTTAAAAAGACAATTTGGTCTATCAAATAAAAGATAATAATACCTTCCAGGTAGACAAGTCAGTGGGTGGGTAAAAACCCAAGGGCACAACACCCAACGGAACAACACCTTGCAGTAAAGACTCAAGCCTATGCTGATTTCTTTTATTCCCACATTAAAGACCCCATTATATCCTTAGTGAGCTGCTACTCACTATTAAAAAGTGCTATTAAAAAGAGGAAGACATCCTTTGTCCAAACAACAGCAGCCACCCAGAAAGTTCTTGCAGGGTATCAAATCTGATGCTACAGGACCATCTACTTCACACCCAAACCGATGGTTCCCAGACAACATCAGCCCAGTCACTTTCAACACACGTATCGCTGCCCTCTGGGCACTGCACCTCGTGGCCTTATTTTACATCCACTAACAAAAGAGACAGTTCGTTATTCAGCACTTCTCCATTCTTCACGAGCACTGTGACTCTTGACTGGGACATAAGAGGCAACAGTGTTTCCCAGATCTGGAATGGGTTTGTCCAGGGGACTTGCAAAAAGGGAAGATACCTTCACGTCCGTAAGCCGAGTAGTTCGTTATAACATAACGACGCCACAACCTCTTGAAGGGCAGTAAGTCCTACTAGTTTTAGCTGAGCATTTCAATGATCTGAAAACAGAATGGAAAACTTCTCTGCTGAACTCGAGTAGGGGTAAGAGCGCAGCATGCAACTGAAAGATACTCTCATCAGTGCTTTCAACCTTCTAGAAGCCACTTATGGACCATGATTATTTCAGATGTCCTATAGCTGAAAAAAAATGGGTGACATTTGTCCAGAAAAAGGTCATCCATATTCACATTTCTCAGCACAAAAGCAGGTTTTGTTCAAGTCCAGTCCTACAACCAAACTATCCAGAGCTAAATTAAACCAATCTAACAAGTCTGCTCATTAAGCAATTCTACAGCCGCTCGTGCTCATGTACAAATACAAACATTTCCAGAGAATAAAGCAGGGGTTTCTATGTGGTGAAAGGAAAGCAGGGATTAAAGTACTAGTGAATAGAGCTTCTGCTGCAGTGCCACTTGGCTCCCACAACG